AAATGCCAATCCAATTAGCAATTGCAGGGAGTCGGCCTCAAATGATCTGTAGTGGATTTAGAGTGTGCCTGAGACAGTGGAAGTGTAGAATCTCAAAATCCTGCCTGCTGTGTATACATAGATGCTCCAAAAGCCATCCAAACATTCTGGTCCAATTCTGACAGTCCAAGTCATTAGACTCTTCACTACAGCGTTTATTAGCCTAGATAAAACTCTAGATAAAATCCTTACCTTTTGAGATCAATGTTAAGGTAAACGAGGATAGTTTGTAGATCCTCATTTCTAAATGAGGATGTGCTTTAAAAAATTGTTCCAGTGAATGTTTTATTTTTAGGGGAGAATCAAAAGGAGTTGGAGAGAAACAACAAGAGGTTGTCCTCTGGGGAGCTAAAGATTTATCTCAGAGATGCATGGTTGCTGCAATGACAAGGGGGAGAGCGCCAAAAATGAAACCAACCACAGGCGTGAGAAAAGAAGAAAATATTTGTAAGCACCAAGTACATTTTAGATTTTCAAACTGTCTTCAAAAGGTTTATCCCAGGAAGTCTGCCTGTGAAGCAAGCTGGTATCCACTGTAGTTACCATGTGGCCATGTGGGTGCACTTTGCCTTATTTGATTGGTGATGATAGTGATGATGCTGGATTATAAGGCCATTAAAATTCATTATCCTACAATGCACGGATATTATATTTTCCATATTTCTGTCACTCAATAGGAAAATCTGAAGACAGGAATTTAAGGAACTGTATTTTATATTCCCTGACTTCTTATGAGATTTTGGTTAAATCTCTTGAAGTGCCTTTCTATTCAATGAATGGAATTGGCTTAGAACAAATGTACTAGGCTGTTACCATGAACCTGTAGGTAAATATGTGACATAATCTATTTTTCTTGGCATTTTCTGGATACAGACTGGAGAATTTAAGCTGTTAAGTTCTCAGAAAATGGCTGTAAGAACTGAATTTACCAGGCTATTTAAAAACCACTCTAAGAAGGAAGAATCTGTAGGCAGGTTATTGGTGGGTTGGGAGGAGAAGAGCTGCTCATCCACAGTGAAGTGCTGAGGTCCGCATCTTCTGCTCCATTTGGGCCCTTTCGGGACTGCCTGAGTTCTCACCTAGGCCACGAAGGAACCGGTTACCCTCTCTGAGCTTGGGCTGAGAGCAGTCATCGGAAACCTGACTCTGACATAAACACACAGCATGTTCTCCTGGATGTGGGAAGAAATGTCTTTCAGGCATTTGTCCCTACCTTAACTGACCTGGCCCTTCTAGGTCCAGAGAAAAGCCACGCATGTGACAGTTTTGAGTCACCTGAGATGAACGGAGTAGGCCTGGGTCTCAGGACATTGAAGACCAAGTCTGTAGTCTCTGTTGCAGAAGCAACTTTCCCCTCTACTGCATGCGCTACACCACAGACAAGTTTCTTTCCTGTCCATGATGCCGCAGAGCCGGGAGTCCAGCCATAGCTCTGCCTGGCCTCTGCAGACAGACAGGCTACCAGGCCGTCCATGCCTCCAGCCCTTTTCTACGAAGCCAGCAAGGCAACAAATGCCCAGTCTGAGGAGATGATTTAAGGAGTTCAAATCTGGTGGCTCAAAACCCAACCTGTGCTCAGAAAACTGCAGAGCCTTGGACCCCTCTCTGCCCCGCATGCATCAGAATCTCGGCCAGAGTGCATGGGGGGAGCTGCATTGGCAAACACTGCCCTGGGACCCTGATAGATGAGCCAGGGATGGAAACAGCAAACTCGAATGCCTTCCAAAGCTCACAGGCAACACAGCTCCCAAAACGCCTGAGACCAATTGGCGTTGATACTATGTCTAAAGCCTCCAGAAATGGGGAATTTATGATCTAGCTAGACAAATGTTTTTGAGGGGAAAAATAAAATGGGACATCCAGAATTTCTCAAGCCACATGCACCCTAGGGAAGTGGGGCTTGATGGCAACTCCAGGGCCCTTGTGTTGTGTCTAAGACTTGAAGCCCCTGAGCCTAGGCCTCAGGTGGTTGGGGCTCCGGAAACTCCTGGTCCTGCTAAGCTGTCGGAGCAGTTTGCTGCTGGGAGGCAGCCGCTCAACAGCCACTGGGGAATCAGAAGTGTGCGCCTAGAAACTCCACATCACACTTGCTTCTCTCCTCGGCCTTTGGTTACATGACACTTACTGTAATGATTATTTAAACTTATCTACAGAAATGTTTTATGCTCTACTCTGTTCATTTTTGAAGGAAAGGGGAACAATCTAGGGCACCAAACTTCTCTTTGACTTAGTCACATCATAGTTATGTCTCCAGATCCTGATGCATCGGATACCTGTTGTGTGCTTGTGTGTGTACATGTGCTTATGCATATTTGTGTATATGTGCTTTCGCATGTGTGTACATGTGATTATGCATGCGTACACGTGCTTACATACGCATGTGCACATGTGCTCATGCATGTTAGTGTGTGCATGTGCTTTTGCATGTTTGTGTGAACATGTGATTATGCATGTTTATGCATGTGCTTATGTACGTTTGTGTGCATGTGCTTATGCGTGTGCGCATGTGCTTTTGTATGTGTTTAAGTGTACATATGTGCTTATGCATGTGTATTTGCGTATGTGTGGGTACGTATGTGTGTGTGAGAGAGAGAGAGGGAGGTCTGGCACAGTTGCAAGAGAGGTTAACAGGCGTGGTCCCTGTGGACACGCCACAGTTCAATGCAATGGAGGAGTGAGGAAGCAATGAGCTGAAGTGACCAGGACCAAGCACCATGCTGGTGAAAGGACACAGGACAGGTCCAGAAGGGGCCAGAGGCAGAGAGCACTCGAGAAGACTGAGATCTGCTCTGATTCAGATGAACTCCTCTGGCCCCGAGTGAATGTCTTGGTGAAGGAACTAAGTGCTCTGCACTCTGTGGCCTCTGCATTTGTGAGAATGACATCACGGCCTTCAGGGCTTTCCTGGTTCCCTGGGCTTCCTTTGGGGCGTTGGCCTCTGAATTGGAGGGGCAGTGCCGCTGGGTTTCTGCAGGGTTAATCCATAGGAGGGAGGTGGTGCCAGCCACAGGCCTCTGTGAACAGAACTGGAGGCATGCAGATCCCGCCGCTGGCCTTTCCTTCAGGGGCTTGTCACCATTGACTCTGCTTTTGGCTATCCCTGGAGGAGCCCCTCACAGCAAAAGCCTGGCCACTTGCATCCCCTTATCCATGGCCCAGCCCTCTTTAAAGGGTAACAAGGAAACACACCGCCTGAGTTAGCAACATGAGGACCCCTGCCCCTTATCGTAAAGGAGCTTAATGCATCTCTCTGCAGGGGAAATGGCAGGAGTTCTTCCTGAGGGTCTCTGCCTTCCGCAGGGGGTTCGAAGGATGCAGGGCCAGCTCTCTGAAGGCTCCTTTCCAAGCAGAGAACAGCAGGCACTTGGGCTCTCCTGCCTTTACTGAGTGACTCTGGCAGACGAGTCCCTGTTAGAAAGTCACCAAGTGCCTTCCTTCTCCACGTTCCCCTGATAGGAGAGCGGAAAAGTGGCACCAGCCCAACAGAGAGGCAAGCACAGGCAGGAGTTTCTCAATTTTTGGCATATTTGCTGCAAAAATGAAGGAAAAATGCTTTATTTTTTCTCCTACCAGCACCTGTCACTTCTTAAAAGCAACATGAAATAAAAGACATCTGTGTCTGGAAATGAACCCCAGGGTGCCTCAGAGAATGTATTTGTTTTTCTAAACCACAGACACAGTTGGAACTGAGGGCTGGCTGGAGAGGCTGCAGTTGGTGATCGATGTACAGAGACATGGGAGGCCCAATGAGCTAGAACTGTCCCCTGGGGAGACCACGGGGTCTCTGGCATGGACAAGGCTCCTGCCGTTCTCACTTGGTCCTCTCCCGACTCCCACCAGGGACACATTAGCCAAGGAAGAAGCTGGATGAATTAGCGCTAGCCCCAAACATTTGGCGAGACTTCTCTCGAGTCTGAGGGCGCCTAGCTGGGTCTTCATGATGCCAACCCTTTCAAGAAGAATGGAAAGAGAATTCCCAGTAGCTGTCCAATGGACCAGATTTCACAGTTTCATAGGGTGAGTCGGTATCACGTAGCTCTGGCTCACTGAATCTGTCCGGTGAGAAGCTACTCCTGGCGGTTTTTCTGTCTCTGCTCCTGAGCCAGCCTGGTGGCAGGGGATGCTCTGTGTCATCTTGTGGGGCCGCACTGGGCCCCCTTCCCTCTGGGGAGGGCTGTGTCCACTCCTCAGGTGCACAGGCTGCCCCTGCCTCTCTCCGTCCTGCAGGCTGTTCCTGTACAAGTCGATGTGGAACCGGCTTCCTTTTCTTCATTCTCAGTTTGACAGGATTCTCCCATCTCATTTCCAAAGGGTGTGGAAATGCCACCTGAATCCACTTATAGAGAACTCTCTCCAGCCATTCCCCAAGGAGAAAGCAGTGGGGCTGGAGGGAAGCCTGCAAATAGGAGGAGGAGTTTTTCTGGGCCAGCATCTGATCTGAGGGCTGGAGAATCAGGCTAACCTCACGTGGGATTAAAAACACCTTTACCCCACATCTTCTTATCTTTGGTGGAGGCTGCATGACAAGCCTGGGACACAGCAGGGCTCTAAAAAAACACTTATTTTTCTTTACCTTGGTAATGAAAATACCATGTAGCTTTTCACTGGGGGAAAGTCAGGTCAAAGCCAAGCCTTAGTAGCAGTGTGCTGTCCGTGTATGTCCACCAGAGATTTCCTCCTGTATCAGGATTGGACCCCTCATCATACACATAGATTTAACGTCATTGCCGGCACTGAAAGACCTGCCTGGGACAGGCAGTGTGTGGTGTGGATATGTAGTATATGTGGTATGCATGTGGTGTATGTGGTGTGTGTGTACAGTATGTGGTATGTGTCTGGTGTATGTGGTATATGTGTGGTGTGTGTGTTGTATGTGGTATGTGTGTGGTGTGTGTGGTGTGTATGGTGTGTGTGGTATGTGTGTGGTATTTGTGGTATGTGTGTGGTATTTGTGTGGTGTGTGGCACGGGTCTGGTGTATGTGGCATATACATATGCATGTGTGACATATGTAGACAGCACTAAGCAATAGGATTTCATCATTAAGAGGAGTTTGCCTGCAGCACCTTTTCTCTCATGATGGAAATGCTGATGTCAAGGGTGGCATCAGGGCAGAGCCGCACCCTGCTCTCTGACCCTGGCATTCACAGTGTCACTGCCCTTTGCTGATGGAGAGGACAGAGGGGTGGAGGCCGTGTGGATGCATTCTGTCCTACATCCACTGATAAACACTCACAGGGTGGGTTTGCAATGGAACTTCATAGTTCACCTGCGAAGACCCCTTTGCAGGGAATCACTCATCCCTGGTTTGGTTACAAAAGCTGAGCTTTTTCTCCCCAACACTGTGAGCAAAGGCAAGCAGAGCCAGTCTGAATTTGCTCCCAGTCTGCCTAACTCTCACTGGCCTTCTCTTCATTCCATTTTCCCAGCCTGGGACACAGGGATTGTATGAGTTATTAAAACAAAGCAGAGAACTACGGCAACTAGGTAGCTAATTTTAGGCCTCAGACTACTTTTCTGCCAATCACCTGAGCATTTCAGACTACGATTTTGAAGGCATGGTTATCCCACTAATTGCAGACGCAATCCTTCCAGCACTGACGGGCCGGGGCACACGGTGCCCCCACAGTGGCCTGGGAAAGCCCAGGAGAGAGTCCCCGGGGCCTGTCGGCCTACAGGAGGTAAAAGTGTTGTCTCTTACGGTCTGTGGTGATCTCGTAGGGGGAGTGGAGCCTCGCGTCTCCGCAGGGGGAGGTGCTCACGTAGAGGTGGAAGAAGATGTTTTCCCGCAGCCGGTAGCCACCTTCTTTTAACCGCACAAAGATTGATCGCTCCGAGTCCTCGCGCCGCGTGCTAGGGTCACAAAGAGGTTTGGGGTCATTTATTACAAACCAAACCAGAAGCATTTCAACCTGCTGAACGCTTGGGTCCTACTTTGTAGAGTTTTTCCCCAAGTTTTTCTGGTTTTTTTTTTTTTTTGCCTTTCTTTGAGACGAAGTCTTGTTCTGTTGCCCAGGCTGGAGTGTAGTGGCATGATCTTGGCTCACTGCAACTCCACCTCCCGAGTTCAAGCAATTCTTCTGCCTTAAGCATCAAGCAATACCCAGCCTCCCTAGTAGCTGGGATTACAGGCGTGCACCACCACGCCTGGCTAATTTTTGTATTTTTAGTGGAGATGGGGTTTCACCATGTTGGCCAGGCTGGTCTCAAACGCCCGACCTCAGGTGATCTGCCCACCTCAGCCTCCCAAAGTGCCAGGATTGCAGGTGTGAGCCACTGCACCCGGCCCCTAGTTTTTTCTTCTTCATACTCCATAGCGTCTTTTCCCTGCACCAGCAATGAAACCACATGAATGCAAACATGACTGGCAGAAACCCTGCCTTCTTGCCCCCGCTCAACGTTCACCTGTCAGTTATTATTATTAAAGATAGGTATTGCTCTGTTACTGCCCAGGCTGGAGTGCACAGTGTGATCACAGCTCAATGCAGCCTCAGCTTCCCGGGCTCTAGTGATTCTCCTGCCTCAGCCTCCCAAGTAGCTGGGACTACAGGTGCATACCACCATGCCAGGCTAATTTATTTACCCTTTTTTTTTTTTTTTTTTTTTTGTAGAGACAGGGTCTTGCTATGTTGCCCAGGATAGTCTGGAACTCCTGGGTTCAAGTGATCTGCTTGCTTGAGGCTCTAAAAGTGCTGGGATTACAGGTGTGAGCCACCAAGGCTTTGTTTTTTTGAGATGGAGTTTCACTCTTGCCGCCCAGGCTGGAGTGCAGTGGTGCAATCATGGCTTGCTCCAACCTCTGCCTCCTGGGTTCAAGCGATTCTCCCATCTCAGCCTCCTAAGTAGCTGGGATTACAGGCCCCTGCCACTATGCCCGGCTAATCTTTGTATTTTTAGTAGAGATGGGGTTTTGCCATGTTGGCCAGGCTGGTCTCGAACTCCTGACCTCAGGTGATCCACTCGCCTTAGCCCTGCAAAGACCTGGGATTACAGGCATGAGCCACCGCGCCCGGTTGCACCATGATCTTTTCCCGAGCCATTTTTTCCATTGCTGTTAACCACATCTGTCTGTCCACAGAGGCGTGATTCTGGGGATTTGCCAGTGCTGCTCATGGCCATACCTCACAGTGGACTATGGGTTTGAGATGGCATAAGTGGGCAGTTCGTGTTTGCTTAGGAGGAAAGGAGCTTTAGGAAGCCCGGGCTCAGTTACCAGCACAGGTGGATGTAGTGAGCCAAAGGGAAACGGCTTTCCTTCCGCCTCCGGCCATGACCCAGGTGGGGCAGGAGAAGCCCCAGCCTCTCTCTGATGGGGAAGGATCTGGCCTGCTGCAAAACCCCCAACAGCCACAAAGTTCAACCTGGGCGGGCCCTGAACAGGGCGCCTGCGTTTCCCCTCGGTGTTTGCTCCCCTGCCTCCTGGCTGTCTGCTTTCTGCCAGTCTTGCTGTTTTTGCACGTTCTACCCGGTGGGTGATGGATTGTGTGCTGTGGGACCCTGCGATCACAGGCAACAGAACAGACATCTTCTCTGCAGGAAGCGCGTGAAGCGTGCACCAGCCTTCCTACCTCTGCCCACTCCTCCCACGCCCACCGCCCCGCACGGCCCCAGTCGCCTCCCCAGGACCCCCGGAAACGTGCCGCAGGCCTGGGCCCCGGCACAGAGCCTGTCAGCTACCTGGCCGCCCTGGACCCGCTCCCCTGTGCCGGTTCCATGCAGGGCAGGTGACACGTGCACCTGTCTGGGGACCCCCCAGCTGGCGGCACAGCGCCAGGCCTGTAACCAGCTCCTGGTGAATATTGGCCCCGTTGCCTTCTCTGACACAAACAAGAGTGAGGGGTCTTGGAGCGTGTCCCAGATCTCGGGGTGAGGAGGAAGCCTGGAATGTCAGCACCTCCCCAGCCGGCACGGTGGCTCTGCTGGTGTGCCCGGGGTGTCTCCAGTCTGAATGACAAGGGACGCTTCCCGGCTCACCCTGTGCCGGGAGAAAGGGAAGTGTGTTCCGAGCCGGCCCGGGGCCCCCTCCGCTCCCCGGCAGCCCCCAGCCGCGGTGTCTGCCCGCCCGGCCCGTCCCCAGCCGCTGACCTCAGGTGCAGCTCCAGCTGCGAGTAGAGGAAGTGCAGGAACGCCCGCCGGGCCACGACCTCCGCGTGGCAGTCGTTCACCACCAGCCCCTGGTCACTGAGGTGCTCGCCGCGGATGCACTTGGTCCCCGAGGACAGGACCACCACCTGCGCCTGCCGAGCGTCCAGGCCTGGGGACACAGACAGCGTCAGGGCGCGCGGCCCGGAGGTCGGGCTCTCCCTGCTCCTCCGTCTTTTCGGGGTCTCAGCGCAGCAGCTTCTCCGGGGCAGCGACCCTCGGAAACGCCGCGTCCTGAGAGCTGGGAAGCGAGGCTTCTGCGCGGCCCGGGCCGCCACGCGTGCCCGAGGATTCCGGCCGCCCCACGGCGGGCCGAGGCAGCGCTCGGGGCGCCTCCCGTGACCCTGAAGCTTGTGCGCGCTCCTTCTGCAGCACAGGGCGCGGTCCGGGGGTCAGACTGGGGTCTCCTTCACCTCTAAGTCCCGGGCCCGTGAGCGAGCAGAGCTGCCCCGGCTTCCCGCCCCGCCTCTGACGCCCCGTGGCCCCGCCCGTGGCCCCCGGCTTCCCGCCTCTCCCCGCCCGTGGCCCCCGACTTCCCGCCCCGCCCGTGGCCCCCGGCTTCCCGCCTCTCCCCGCCCGTGGCCCCCG